CTAGGCAAGAGAGAAAGAGGAAGAAAAAATGAAGCATCTTTTATTTCAGGCGTGAAAGATGAATGGAATGTATAAGAAGCATATTATGAAGCAGTATATTACAGTGATTAATTTAAAATCTCATCAATGCTCCAAAATGGTTGTGTTAATAACAGAATTATTTTATTTGGTAACTTGAAGTGATATTTATTTTTTTTTTAGGTTCTAGATGCAAAGTGTGGCTTTTGAGTGGAACATCTAGAGTGTGAGGCATCTGTAGGAGTTCTTGCTTGTGACTTTAGGTGTATGTATGCATATATGTGTATGCAGCTCAAAGATTACCCATGGAAGGTCTTTACCTTAAAAAGTTATGACAGAATGCACTTAATGTAGCCTTAATTAGGTTTTCCAGGACACCAATTCCATTAGTTCTGGTGAGGCAGTATTTGCTGTGGGTTGAATCAGAACTGTGTCCTCTTGTATTCGGTGCTCCCAGGTTAAAGATCACGTTACAGTTGTCTACTGTTCCTTAGAGGTTCAGTTGCCTTGTGTTGGTTCTTTCAGGAAGGGCAATGGAATTCAGGAGCATGTGTTCAGTCACAGTAAATGCTTGCATGGGTTCTTAACTAAAGCGTTTCTGTGCTCTCACAGTATTGAGAGCTTGTCATTATGTCATGGTACAATAACCCCTATCGTTTCTCTTCTCTCCTTTGCATTGCTAGTATTTATCTGTGGTTTATTTACCAGATCATCTGTATGGTTCATTAGCATTCAGCATGTATAAGGGGTTTATCAATCTTAAAGTTTATCACATTTAAAATGAATGACAGCAGAAGCAGATGTCTGTGAGCAAAGGTGAAACTATTAAGCAAAATATAAATATTCTTGAACAAGCTATAATATCTTCAAAAACTCACCTAAAAAACAAGGCAATAATAAATATTGCTTAAATAAGTAAAATTGTCTGGAGATTTGACCAAAAAGGTTTTTTTCATATTCTGCTATTCAAACTTGATGAAAGACTTGAAAGTCTTGGTGAGAGAAGGGTACAATACTTTCTAAGCATGACCAAAAAGGAGTTAGATGTTTAGAAAACATACAATCATGCAACAAATAGGCAAATTGCTAAACTTATTAGTGGGGAAAGACTATTTTCTGGAAATTCATGTTACTAGTGAGTTTAAGTGGAATAAAATTATTTTTCCCAATTTTTTTCTCTTTAAAAGAAAATATAGCCACTTATAGGGCATTTCCTACGCCTTCCTTGACTCTTCCTGCCAGCACTGTAGGTCTCTTTTAGGAAAGGCAGTGTTGAGGTTTTTGAAAATTTTAATGCTAGATTTCTAGCTATGATATTGAATAAGAGCACTTATTTGTTTGGGTTTTTTTTAAACAAAACAACCAAACCCAGTCATGAAGACGTGACTCATGCTGATTAAACTTTTTTTTGTTTTCAAGAGGAATTATGATGTAATTTAGATTGGTTTTGATTGTTATGTGTTGCTGCAGAATAAGTGCAATCCTAAATGACACTTGGGACTGTTGTGACTAAGTTTTTTGAGTGCATTTCTGAGTGGGTTAATCCTATGCAAGGAATAAAAAGGTGGTTTTAATTTTCTGTTGTTCCTTCACATTTTTCTAAAGGGATTTTTCTAAATGGATTTCTCTACAGAACTAGAAGATAAAAGTAGAAAGGTCTGTTTATTGCTTATGTACATTACTTCTGGTAAGGATTAAATGGCAATAATTTGAGTGGAAATCAAAGATATCAGGTATATCTTGGAAATGTTAAAAGCAATTTAAGAGGATTTGTATATTTTCTAGACTTCATGTTCATTTTTGCAATTTTCTAAGCCAAATGAAGAGTTAACAATTACATTTTTGTATTAGTAATTTTCATTAAAGGGAGATAATAAAAAATTAGCTAATTGGTTTAATATCCCACTCAATAGCCAGTATTGGATTTTTATGGGCTTAGTAGAAGTAACTGTACAGTACTGATTGGACCCTCTGCCATAAGAGACCTTCTCTGAGTCTTCTCAACAGTGACATGTGAGAACTTACAGAGAAAATGCTTGGAATTTTTAACATATTGCAAGTATTTTCAAAATGTAGCTAAATTCTTATGGTTAGTTCAGTTTTGTGCTTGTAAATTGGTTTCAAGGAGTATACTTTTGTTTTTGTTATGGCAGAAGATAAATCAGAATGCTTAAATAGATCAGTGGGAGCATTTATACAGTATGGATGTTCTGTTCTCTGTAACATAGTTTTGTTTTATACATACCACTTACAAAAAAATTCTGTGTCAGTGCTTTATTTTTTTTCATGCGAATGATGCCATTTAATATTGGGTGATCACCCAACTAAATTTTATTTCCTCCATGAACTTTGTAAAATATTATAGGAGAGATTTGTTTCTAGAGCATCAGCTCAGGAAAGATGATGGCAGAACACAAAAAAATTAAATAATGCAGCCTAAAGAACTTAAAAGATCATAAATTGCACCAACTTTTAGGAACAGTAGTGTTATATTATTATTCTCTTAAGTATTCAGCTTTATTATTATGGAATTTCCATAAATAAGCCTTTATTTATGTTTTCTAAAAACTGTTTCTGAAAAAGTATTTGTGTCTTTCTTCATTGCCTTTGAATTTCTGTTCTGTTCCAAAGGGATTTTGTGGTTGAATCTTAAGTCTTTCAAGAGATAAGTTAGAAAATTTCCCTTAAAAGGTGCTTACCCTTGTGGTGTGTAATTTTTGTAAATAAGTTTAGTTGGCATCAATTTCTGTTTAATATGATTGTGGCTGATGAGTGATCTTCAAAACTGTTTCACATAAAAAGTAATTTCAGAAGTGGGAAGAAAGGCCTGCAGGTACTAATATTGAAATATATGGCGAATTTGTTGTTCTAGTTTAGCTTGTGTGTAGTCTGAGTTTCCCCCCAGTCAACAGAGGTCAGTTCAATCAACTGAGAGGAAAGAGTTATGGGAATTCCAAGGTGCAGAAGCTAACTCACATTTCTACTTTGGTTTAGATACATTGCCATAAAAACAATAGCATCAAAAAACACCTGCAAAGAGCACAGGAGCAGGCAATTCCCGAGTACTGGAACTCAAGCAGATGAGGCAGAAGGCCAGCTTGGCTGAACAGGAATCTTCTCTTGGAGATAAGGCAAAAAAAGGAAGGTGTATGCCCAGTAGAAGCCAGATCAAGTGACATGGGAAGAATACAGAGACGCTGCTTGCCACTGTAGGGAGAAAATTCATGCAGCCAAAGCTCAACTGGAGTTGAACCTGGACAGAAATGTGAGGGACAGTTAAAACAGTTCTTTCAAAAACATTAATGGCAATAGGCAGTAGAGAAATATCATCATCCTGTTGAGGATGAGGATGGTTACCTCAAAAGCATGGACAGAGACAAGGCAGAGGTGTTTAAGGCTTTCTTTCCCTCTGTCTTCAACATGGATCATGAACCAAAGGGCTCCAGCTCAGTGCCCTCAGCTGGAGGACCATGACTGTGAGAATGATCAACTCCCAGTAGACCCTGAAATTGTGCAGGATCTGCTGCTCCAGCTGGATCCCTACAAACCTGTGAAGCCTGATGGGATTCATCCAAGAATCCTCAAAAAGCTGGCTGATGTCACAGCAAAACCTCTCCCAATGATTTTTGAGCGGTCTTGGGAGTCTGGAGGGGAATCCCAGCTGACTGAAAGCTGGGGAATGTTGTACCAGTTTTCAAGAGGGGCAAGAAGGAGGACCCCAGAAACTACAGACTCATTTCAGTGCCTGGTAAAGTTATGGAGAAGGTTATTCTGGGGAGTATTGAAAAACACCTGATGACACAGTCATTGGTCACAGCCAGCACAGCTTCTTGAGAGGAAAGTCTTGCTTGTCAAACCTGATTTCCTTTCATGACAAGGTAACCCACCTAGTTGATCAAGGGAAGCCAGTTGATGGAATCTTTTTGGATTTCAGTAAAGCTTTCAGTATTGTCTCTCATAGGATCTTTTTGGACAAAATGTCCATCACACAGCAAAGCCCAGTGTTACTCAGTGCTGAATTTGTACCTACATATGTTTTAGAGTACATTCAGAGTTCCTCGAAAGTGTTGTCAGTTTTAGTCTAGAAGACTGGAGAGAGTGGCTGTGTTTGCCTGGTATTACTAAAAAACTTCCAGTCTTAGTTTCTGTAAAGAAAAAAAAAAACAGGCCTGGTATATATTCATAGGCAGTAAGTATTCCTCAGAAGCAAGGAAATATTTATTGCTTATCAAAAGGTATAACTCCAGCCCACAGAGTATGTCACATCAGCAGTTGAAGTGGGATTGCTGTTAAGGTGGGTTTTCCTGTGCTATTCTGCATCTAATTAACATTAACATGTTATGATGGTGGAGAAGATATATCAGGACTGAGCATCAGTGTATATTAATAACCTAAATGCATAGCTAAGTACAAAGCACAGTGAACCCAAAATCTATGGTACTATCTTGAAAACTTCCATTTTCTAGGCTACTTAGATTAGTGCCAGTCAGGATAATATATGTGCCACCACACTTTGATCTCTGGTATGAAACTATGATAGTGTCATTTTTTTAATTGCTACACAATACATCAGCCATCCTTTTAGACGTGTTCTTACAAAATAAATGGTGCAATTACTGCCTATAATCCCATATCCTGTACATCTTTGTATCCATCAATTTGAGCAAGGCCAAATAAAGCGGTCCAATAAGTGGCTTTCCTTTGAACACACAATAAAAAGAAATGGGAACAGTAGGAAGCTGCAGTTGGTTGTCCCAAATGACTGACCTTTTGTTCTGGAAGGGTTGCTAGGAGGGAGTCCACAACCCCTGAAAAGGTTACTCTGACGTGGTTGCAATTCCGCACAAAACACAAAAATATCTCCAGAAAGGCATCGGTACGTTTTCCTCCAGTACAGAAGGGAGATTGGCAAAAGGAGCTTTAAATCAACAGTCAGTTTATCCCTGCTCTGAGGTAAAGGTGGTGTCTTCTTCACTCCACAGCGTTTCCTCGATATGACATTTGGAGCCGGAGGTCACACGACAGCTCTTCTGGAGAGAGCCAACGACATCACCGTGTATGCCCTGGACAGGGACCCCACAGCCTACAGGATAGCTCAGCAGCTCTCCGAATCCTACCCGTAAGTTGTCTTCTCCTCTCTTAAATATGGTTGGGATAAGGCTGATACTTTGGTGTTTTATGCATAATTTAATATATTTTTATGTTTTTTAATGGCTTACTGTAGAATAGCATTATATGCTGCGCGTACCCTGTTAAGTAGGAGATTTTTGCATGCAGATTTTTGGAGTTAAATGCATATTCAGTACTCTTAATTCTGAGCATGCATCAAGTAGCCAATTTTACGTTTAAAAATGGATTTAAGAAAGATTCATGGGTTCCGTTTGCCTTGAGATGGTTCTGATGGCAGAGTGGTACAAAAACATATCTTTGTGGTAAATATTTCGCAAAAAACCAATGGAATAATAGAATTTAAATAATGAGGTCATTTAAATATGGCTTATGAATATTTTAATTAAAACCCCCAAAAATAATTGTAATTCAGTATTAGGTTTGCTAAGTATTTTGCCACTGGCTTCAGAAACTACTGAACAACTTAATAAGCTACTATTTCTGTGTATAGCTTATGTTTCAGTTTTCTTTTTAAATAGAGTGCTGAATTTGCTAAATGAACAATTGCTAAATGCAATTTTTTAGTCATGCAAAGTTCTTGTTCCCTTATTTTGTTCAAGAAAGAGCCCAGTCAGAGCATCTTTGCATTCATGCAAAAGTGTGCATTGTAGAGTTGAATATGAGCTTTTCAGAAAGTGATATTTTTCAGATTTGACCAAGAAGTAAGAGTATGTAGATACAAAACAAAATCATATGAAATAATTAAGACTTAAGACATTTAGGTCAAGGAACCAAGAGAGGATGCCCACTGTCAGATTGAAAACATTAGAGTATTTATTTCAAAATAGCTTTTACATGAGGAAAACCAAATATTTCCAAAAAGAAGAAAACTGGAAGAGGTGGCTGAAGAAACACTTGGTTGTTCAGTGAAATTTTCCCACATAAAAGGGAGTTCTAAGTCAGCAGTAATATTAAGCAATGCAGAAGGTATTCCTCATCTTTTCTAAGATAAAAGGCTAAATTGTGCATTCCTTTCTTCAAGTGTCTTTGACAGAGGTCCAGTGGGAGAAATGCAAACATGTGACAAGACAGCATGGCTCAGTTTCTAGTCATCCCACTCTGGAAAAACACTTCAATATATTTCTCTTAATTCTCAGTTCTTTGTGGGTTGAAGTGACATGCAGTATAAACTTACAAATTTGTGGAATTCTTTTCAACTGTTATTTCTTCAGAGAATGCTCTTTTTGAAAGAATACTGTGGAGAATATTGTCAAGGAAAGTCCGTTTTCTTTTAATCTTAAGTCTGCAAACACGTTCTGCCAAATGTCATGGAAGTTGTAAAATCTTCTGTTCTTTGTGTCATAGAAAAAACCCAGTCTTTTAGAAACATTCACACAACGTAAGACAACAATGTGCAGTCTCTGACTCAATATGTGTTTATCTGTAAATCTGTAAAGCATCCTATGAAAACCTGGATGCAAAAAATGTTTATTTTTGAGATGTATTAGGTGTTGGATGCTGTTCTGCCAATGATTGACATTGTTAATTTTCTCCTTGTTTAACGTGAAAGGGTGAACTTTAATTTAATATAATATTATAGTTGATGTAACTTACTGTGGCTTATTAGACAAAGGAGGTCTCCTAGTTCTTACTTTTGTTTGTAAAACTCTGGTTCTTGGACTCCAGACATGTTGTTGTCCACCTGTAGAGATTCAAGTTATCCTTAGAATGAAGTGGATTCTTAAATAGCATAGTGTTGTTGATGAAGAGTCTTGATCACTGAAAGATGACTGCATGCCACCTGAATACGTATTGTAAGATACAGCAGTGCTCTTATTTGCTCTGGTGTTTTCCCTCATTTTCTGTCTGTCTTATTAGAAAGAACAGGTAGATCCTTTTCCAGGAGGTAAATATATCTTTTTTCATAATAGTTTGTGTTGAAAATTAAGATAAAAGAATGTTCAGGTATGGTATATGTGCTAATTATTAATCTGCTATCCCTGGGAAGTCAGTTGCAAGGGGAAAGGAGGAGGTATAAGTATATAATTTATAAATAACAGGTAAAGTTAGTGTTTGATTACAAATCA